TTTGATCTTTATGATTTCTTTCCTTCTGTTAACATTCTGGGTTTTTTGTTCTTCTTTCTATAATTGCTTTAGGTGTAAGTTTAGGTTGTTTATTTGAGAGGTTTCTTGTTTCTTAATGTAGTATTGTATTGCTATAAACTTCCCTTTTAGAATTGCTTTTGCTGCATCCCATAGGTTTTGCGTCATTGTGTTTTCATTGTCATTTGTTTCTAGGTATTTTTTGATTTCCTATTTTATTTCTTCAGTGATCACTTCTTTATTAAGTAGTGTATTGTTTAGTCTCCAAGGGTTTGTATTTTTAGGGTTTTTTTCCTGTAATTGATATCTAGTCTCATAGTGCTGTGGTTGGAAAAGATAGTTGGTTCGATTTAAATTTTCTTCAATTTATCAAGGCTTTATTTGTGACCCAAGATATGATCTATACTGGAGAATGTTCCACGAGCACTTGAGAAGAAAGTTTATTCTGTTGTTTTTGGATGGAATGTCCTATAAATATGAATTAAGTTAATTCTGTTTAATGTTTCATTTAAAGCTTGTGTTTCCTTTTTTATTTTCATTTTGGATGATCTGTCCATTGGTGAAAGTGGGGTTAAACTTCCTGACTATGATTGTGTTACTGTCGATTTCCCCTTTTATGGCTGTTAGTATTTGCCTTATGTACTGAGGTGCTCCTATGTTGGGTACATAAATAGTTACATTATTTTTTCTTCTTCCTGGATTGAACCCTTGATCTTTTTGTAGTGTTCTTCTTTGTCTTTTGTAATAGTCTTTGTTTTAAAATCTATTTTGTCTGATATGAGAATCTCTACTGCATCTTTCTTTTGATTTCCATTTGCATGGAATATTTTTTCATCCCCTCACTTTCAGTCTGTATGTGTCCCTAGGTCTGATGTGGGTCTGTTGTAGACAGCATATATACCAGTCTTCTTTTTGTATCTATTCAGCCAGTCTGTGTGTTTTTGTTTGATCCTTTAATCCATTTACATTTAAGGTAATGATCAATATGTATGTTCTTATTACCATTTTCTTAATTGTTTTAGGTTTGCTGTTTTAAGTCTTTTCCTTCTCTTGTGTTTCCAGTCTAGAGAATTGCCTTTAGCATTTCTTGTAAAGCTGGTTTGGTGCTGCTGAATTCTCTTAGCTTTTGCTTGTTTTAAAGGTTTTAATTTCTCCTTCAAATCTGAATGAGATCCTTGCTGGGTACAGTAATCTTCATTGTAGGTGTTTCTCCTTCATCACTTTAAATATGTCCTGCTACTCCCTTCTGGCTTGCACAGTTTCTGCTGAAAGACCAGCTGTTAACCTTATGGGGATTCCCTTGTATGTTATTCGTTGTTTTCTCCTTGCTGCTCTTAATATTGTTTCTTTGTATTTAATTTTTGATAGTTTTATTAAGATGTGTCTTGGTGTGTGTCTTCTTGGATTTATCCTGTGTGGGACTGTCTGTGCTTCCTGGACTTGACTAACTATTTCCTTTCCCACATTAGGGAATTTTTCAACTATAATCTCTTCAAATATATCTCAGTCTCTTTCTTTTCTCTTCTTCTTCTGGGACCCCCATAATTCGAATGTTGGTGCATTTAATGTTGTCCCAGAGGTGTCTGATACTGTCCTCAATTCTTTTCATTCTTTTTTTCTTTATTATGCTCTGCAGTAGTTATATCCACTATTTTATCTTTCAGGCCACTTATCCGTTCTTCTGCCTCAGTTATTCTGCTATCAATCCCTTCTAGAGAATTTTTAATTTCATTTATTTTGTTGTTTATGACTGTTTGTTTGTTCTTTACTTCTGCTAGGTCCTTGTTAAACGTTTCTTGTATTTTCTCCTTTCTATTTTGAAGATTTTCAATCATCTTTACTATCATTTTTCTGAAATCTTTTTCAGGTAAACTGCCTATTTCCTCTTCATTTGTTAGATCTGGTTGTTCTAAGAAGGAAGTTTATAGCAATACAATCCTACCTTAAGCAACAGGAAACATCTTGAATAAACAACCTAACTTTGAACCAAAAGCAATTAGAGAAAGAACAAAAGAACCCCAAAGTTAGCAGAAGGAAAGAAATAATAAAAATCAGATCAGAAATTAATGAAAAAGAAATGAAGGAAACGATAGCAAAGATCAATAAAATTAAAAGGTGGCTTTTTGAGAAGATAAACAAAATTGATAAACCATTAGCCAGACTCATTAAGAAAAAGAGGGAGAAGACTCAAATCAATAGAATTAGAAATGAAAAAGAAGTAACAACTGACACTGCAGAAATACAAAAGATCATGAGAGATTACTACAAGCAACTCTATGCCAATAAAATGGACAACCTGGAAGAAATGGACACATTCTTAGAAATGCACAACCTGCCAAGACTGAATCAGGAAGAAGTAGAAAATATGAACAGACAAATCACAAGCACTGAAATTGAAACTGTGATTAAAAATCTTCCAACAAACAAAATCCCAGGACCAGATTGCTTCACAGGCCAATTCTATCAAACATTTAGAGAAGAGCTAACACCTATCCTTCTCAAACTCCTCCAAAACATAGCAGAGGGAGGAATACTCCCAAACTCATTCTACGAGGCCACTAACACCTTGATACCAAAACCAGACAAGGATGTCACAAAGAAAGAAACCTACAGGCCAATATCACTGATGAACATAAATGCAAAAATCCTCAACAAAATACTAGCAAACAGAATCCAACATCACATTAAAAGGATCAGAAACCACGATCAAGTGGGGTTTATTCCAGGAATGCAAGGATTCTTCAATATATGCAAATCAATCAACGTGATACACCATATTAACAATTGAAGGAGAAAAACCATATGATCATCTCAATAGATGCAGAGAAAGCTTTTGAGAAAACTCAACTCCCATTTATGATAAAAACCCTGCAGAAAGTAGGCATAGACGGAGCTTTCCTCGACGTAATAAAGGCCATATATGACAAACCCACATCTTACATCGTCCTCAATGGTGAAAAACTAAAAGCATTTCCACTAAGATCAGGAACAAGACAAGGTTGCCCATTCTCACCACTCTTATTCAACATAGTTTTGGAAGTTTTAGCCACTGCAGTCAGAGAAGAAAAGGAAATAAAAGGAATCAAAATGAGAAAAGAAGAAATAAAGCTGTCACTGTTTGCAGATGACATGATACTATACATAGAGAATCCTAAAGATGAGACTAGAAAACTACTACAGGTAAAGAATGAATTTGGTAAAGTAGCAGGATACAAAATTAATGCACAGAAATCTCTGGCATTCCTATACCCTAATGATGAAAAGTCTGACAGTGAAATCCAGAAAACACTCCCATTTACCATTGCAACAAAAAGAATAAAATATCTAGGAATAAACCTTCTTAAGGATACAAAACACCTGTATGCAGAAAATTATAAGACACTGATGAAAGAAATTAAAAATTTTGCCTTGCTCCTTCATCTGCTGTTTCTCTGTCTTCTCATTTTTCTTAAATTACTGTGTTTGTGGCTCTCCTTTTTGCAGGCTGCAGGTTCTTAGATCCTGCTGTTTTTGGTGTCTGTCCCCAGTGGCTAAGTTTCGTTCAGTAGGTTGCCTATGCTTCATAGTGGCGGGAACTAGTGTCTGTGTTCCGGTGGATGAGTCTGGATCTTGTCTTTCTGGAGAGCAGGTCCACTTCTGGTGGTGTGTTTTGGGGTTTCTTTGGCCTTATCATGGTTTTAGGCAGCCTCTCTGCTTATGGATGGGGTTTATTCCTGTCTTGGTTTTTGGCATAGGGTGTACAGCACTGTAGCTTGCTGGTCGTTGAGCGGGGATGGGTCTTGGTGTTGAGATGGAGATCTTTTGGAGATTTTCACCATTTGATATTATGTGGAGCTGGAAAGCCTCTTATGGACCAGTCTCTTGTACTTGGCTCTCCCACCTTAGAGGCACAGTCCTGATGCCTGGCTGGAGCACCAAGAGCCTGTCATCCACACAGCTCAGAATGAAAGGGAGAAAAAAAAGAAAGAAGAAGGGAAAATAAAATAAAGTTATAAAAATAAATTTAATTAGAAAAAAATTTTAAGTAATAAAAAATAATATAGAATGAAAGAAGAGAGGAATCAAACCAAAAAACAAATCCACCAATAATAACAAGTGCTAAAAACTATACTGAAACAAACAAACAGACAGACAGAACCCTAAGACAAATGGTAAAAACAAAGCCATACAGACAAAATCACACACAGAAGCATACACATACACATTCACAGAAAGAGAAAAAGTGAAAAAAATTATATTGTTGCTCCCAAATCCACCTCCTCAATTTGGGATTATTCATTGTCTATTCAGGTATTCCAAAGATGCAGGGTACATCAAGCTGTATGTGGAGATTTAATCCGCTGCTCCTGAGGCTCCTGGGAGAAATTTTCCTTTCTCTTCTTTATTCGCACAGGTCCCAGTGTTCAGCTTTGTACCTGGCCCCGCCTCACCATGTACGTCGCCTGACAGCGTCTGTTCTTAACTCAGGCAGGACGGGGTTAAAGGAGCAGCTACTTTGGTGGCTGTGGCTCACTGAGGCCGGGGTGAGGGAGCGGTATGGAATCAGGGGCGAGCCTGCTGTGGCAGAGGCTGGCGTGACGTTACACCAGTGTGAGGCATGCCCTGTGTTCCCCCCGGGGAAATTTTCCCTGAATCATGTGACCCTGGCAGTGGCTGGCTGCACAGGCTCCCAGGAGGGAGGTGTGGATAGTGACCTGTGCTTGCTCACAGACTTCTTGGTGGCTGCAGCAGCAGCCTTGGCATCTCGTGCCCATCTCTGTGGTCCATGCTGATAGCTTTGGCTCGTGCCCGTCTCTGGAGCTTGTTTAAGCGGTGATCTTAATCCCCTCTTCTTCCGCATCGCGAAACAAAGAGGCAAGAAAAAGTCTCTTAATTGTGTTCGCTGCCGCCGCCACGCCACTGTCACTCTCTGATGCCAGCGCTGCCTCTAGCTCGCTGAGTTTCAGCCGAAGGAGAAGGGGGGTAAGTAAGGAGGTCTTTATACCATGGCTCGTACAAAGCAGACTGCCCACAAATCGACCGGTAATAAAGCACCGAGGAAGCAACTGGCTACAAAAGCCGCTCGCAAGAGTGCGCCCTCTACTGGAGGGGTGAAGAAACCTCATCGTTACAGGCCTGGTACCGTGGCACTCCGTGAAACTAGACGTTATCAGAAGTCCACTGAACTTCTGATTCGCAAACTTCCCTTCCAGTGTCTGGTGCAGGAAATTGCTCAGGACTTCAAAACAGATCTGCGCTTCCAGATTGCAGCTATTGGTGCTTTGCAGGAGGCAAGTGAGTCCTATCTGGTTGGCCTTTTTGAAGACACCAACCTGTGTGCTATCCATGCCAAACGTGTAACGATTATGCCAAAAGACATCCAGCTAGCACACCACATACATGGAGAACGTGCTTAAGAATCCACTATGATGGGAAACATTTCATTCTTTTAACAAAAAAATTCTCTTCCTGTTATTTGTAGTTCTGAACGTCAGATTCCCCCCCCCCGTGGGGTCAAAATGTACCTAAGTATATGATTGCAGGTGGAAAAATGGGGGACAGAAATCAGGTATTGGCAGTTTTACCATTTTCATTTGTGTGTGAATTTTTAATATAAATGTAGGGACATAAAGCATTAATGCAAGTCAAAATGTTTCAGTGAACAAGTTTCAGCAGTTCAACTTTATAACAATTATAAATAAACCTGTTAAATTTTTCTGGACAATGCCATCATTTGGATTTTTTTAAAACAAGTAAAATTCTTATTGACTGCAACTAAATGGTGTTTGTAGCATTTTTATCATACAGTAGATTCCATCCATTCACTATACTTTTCTAACTGAGTTGTCCTATATGCAAGTACATGTTTTTAATGTTGTCTGTCTTCTGTGCTGTTCCTGTAAATTTGCTATTAAAATACATTAAACTATTTTAAAAAAGAAAAAAAGAAAAAGTCTCTTGCCTCTTCGACAGCTCCAGACTTTTTCTCAGACTCCCTCCCAGCTACCTGTGGTGCACTAACCCCCTTCAGGCTGTGTTCACACAACCAAACCCAGTTCTCTCCCTGAAATCCAACCGAATCCGGAGCCTCAGCTCCCATCACCCACCCGGCCTGGCGCGTGAGCAAACAAGCCTCTAGGGCTGGTGAGTGCTGGTCGGCACCGATCCTCTTTGCGGGAATGTCTCTGCTTTGCCCTCCGTACCCCTGTTGCTGCACTCTCCTCTGTGTCTCTGAAGCTTGCCCCCTCCACCACATGCAGTCTCCGTGGGTGGAAAGTCTTCCTTTCCTCCTTCACAGCTCCCTCCCACTGGTGCAGGTCCCATCCCTATTCTTTTGCCTCTGTTTTCTCTTTTTTCTTTTGCCATACCCAGGTTCGGGAGGAGTTTCTCACCTTTTCAGATGTCTGTCTTCTGCCAGCGTTCAGTAGGTGTTCTGTAGGAGTTATTCCACATGTAGATGTGTTTCTTATGTATTTGTGGGGAGGAAGGTGATCTCCACGTTTTACTCTTTCGCCACCTTGAAGCTCCTCCTGAGGGTTGTTTTTAATATAGATATCTGCCACCTCTTTCCTCAATGTATACTGGCTGCTATCCCCTTTATAAGAGGTGTGACTGATGTTGTGATGACGAAAGCCTGCACTGAATATTGAGCAGGGCTTCCCCTTTGCTCTGTGGTGTTCACTGCCCTGTCAGAAGTGGGGTCTGCTCCCTAATTCTTGGGTTAGAGGCCCCCAGATCTGTTTCTTAGCTTTGTTTTTGTTCTGCAGTGTGATGTAGGTGGGATTGGACCACTCCCACTTGGACGGAAGCCACTGAGTCTTCCTCCTCTGGAGGGGTTCACCTGTGTGTGTGCTCTGTGGTGTCACCTTTTACCTGTTCTGCAAGCTCTCAGCTTACACTGTTGTAGGCACTGCTCTCTTTCCCACCTTACCTGTGGATGTGCCAGTGGCTGGCCCTATTATCTCTCAGATGTTGTTTTCCCCAAGCCCCAATGTAGATCCACTGAAGTCAGGTCCAAGGATTGCAGTAATTATGGATCTGGACCCGCTTTGGGTGCTATGGGGGCAGCTCACTCTCTGGCCCTCCCAACCCCCACTTTTATGTCCCCACAAAGTCTATAGCTGCTGAAGTTAGACCTGTCTTGGCTGTGGGAGCATTTGGTGTCCATTCAGATGTTCTGCATGTGCTGAATTAACCATTCTAGTCACAGGGTCTTAATCCATGGTTTGCACTGCTTCAAGGAGAGATTTCAGCTCTTCTTCCTTAGTCACACATCTCCTGGAGTTCAAGTTTGGTTTCAGCCCCACCTCTGTGTATGGGTCACCCACAGCCGTCTGCTCCCTGCCCAGGCAAGGGGGATCAGATACAGCGATCCCAGGTTCACAGGCCTGTTTCAGAAGGAGGAATTGGGGGTGGTGGCTGACTGGAGTGTGCATACTCATTCAGGTGGGAGGGGGAGATGCTGGCAACGATTGGGTGCATGCATTTGCTCTGGCAGGAGCCCCTCCTAGTGCCTGTGGAGGTGGGGGCTGGCATGTGGGGAGAGAATTTTGATGGTGACCCTGCCTTTCACGCATCACTCTGCAATGGCGCTTCACTTCTATGGTAGTCCAGGCTTCCTCCAGGAGCATTCCTGGTTATGAAATTCCTCACTCCTGTCCCCTCAGGCTGTCTCTGTGCAGCCAACAGCCATTCTTTCCCTGGGTCTGCTCTCCAAACACCACATTCCAGCACCCAGCCCCTGTCAGCACTGGCAGACACCAGACTCAGGCTGGGGTGCACAGGGCTGTGACATTGACTATCTGTGTAAATCTCCCTCTTTCCTCCCTGCCACAGACAAATTGCTGCTCTTTCCTCTGACAGCCCCCAAATCTCCCCTTTTATCTCAGCTGATCTTGCCAGTGAGGGGTCTTCTCTGATTGTGAGAACCTCTCCTCTCCTTCAGCTCCCCACCAGAGGCCCAGTTCCCATCCCATTTCCTGTTTTCTTTATTTTTATTTTCTCTCTTTTGTCCTACCCAGTTATTAGGGAAACTTTTCTTATCCTTTTAGGTGTCTCAGGTCCTCTGTTAGTGTTCAGCAAGTGCTCAGTGAGAATTCTTCTATTTGTAGATGTGTTCTTGATGTACTTGTGGGGAGAGGTAAACTCTGGTCCTCTTATTCTGCCATCTTGGGAAACGTTTAACTTCTCACTTAGTTCATCCAATCTTCCCTTCTGTTCTTTGAACGTCTTTAATATCATTACCTCGAACTCTTTTTCAAGTAGATTGCTTATTTTCACTTTATTTAATTCTTATTCTGGTGTTTTATCTTGTTCCTTTGTTTGGGACATATTCTTCTGTTGCCTTATTTTTTCTAATTTGCTGTTTTTATTTCTATGTATTTGGTAAGCTGGTTACATTTTTTGACTTTTGAATGTGGCCTTTTGTAGGTGATGTCCTATGTGTCACAGCAGCACACTCCCCTCTGGTCACCACAGCTATATGCTCTAGGGATGTCCTCTATTGTGGGCTGCATGGGTCCTTCTCTTTTGGTGGGCTGACTACTGTGGGTGTTCTGGTAGGTGTGGCTGGTCTCCAGTCTTGTTGGTTACCAGGTCTTTCCTTGTGTGGAGGCTTCTGCCATGTGTAGGTAGGGCCAGGTTAAAACGTGGCTGACTGCAGAGCCCTGGGTTGTCCTGTGGCTTTCCCACTGGTTGGCAGAGCCAGTTTCCTGGGAGTGTGGTTGCAGGGCTGTGGGTCGTGGATCTACTGGCAGTCTTCTGGTGAGAAGAATTTATACTGTCACTACTTGCAGATGACATGATTTGTATATAGAAACCCCTAAAATCTTCACCAAAAACCCTGTTAGAATAAATTCAGCAGTGTTGCAGCATACAAGATTAATATACAAAAATATGTTCCTTTTCTATACACTAGTAGTGAAATAACAGAACTAGAAAGCAAAAAAAATCCTGTTTAAAATCACATCAAAAATTATAATATACCTAGAATAAACATAACCAAGGAAGTGAAAGACCTATACACGGAAAACTATAAAACATTGATGAAGGAAATTGAAGATGATACAAAGAAAAGGAAAGTTATGCTCTGCTCTTGGATTGGAAGAATTAATATTGTTGACATGGCCATACTACCCAAATAAATAGAGAGTTAATGCAATCCCTTTAAAAATACCTGTGACATTTTTCACAGAACCAGAACAAATAATCCTAAAATTTATATGGAACAACAAAAGACCTCAAATTGCCAAAGTAATCTTGAAAAAGAAGAACAAAGCTGGAAGTATCACTCTCATTGACTTCAGATTATAATACAAACTCTAGTAATTAAAACAGCACTGTAGAGAGAGAGATTCAAGATAGCAGAAGAGTAGGTGGAAGTGGAGTTCAGCTCTCTCCACGGATGCATCAGGAATATATCTATAGATGCAACAATTCTCATAGAACACTGGCTGAACACTAGCAGAAGACATTGGACACCAGAAAGGACTATAAAGATCCCCATATAACTGGGTAGGGTGGGAAATATGAAGGGAGAAGGAGGAGGAGAGGAAGTTGGATGGGACCTGCACACTGGGGTGGGGGACCTGAAGCAGAGGAGAGATTTCCGAATTCAGGGAAAGCCCCTCTCCAACGGGGAAACCCCCTCTCATGGGAAAATTGATTGGGACAGAAGGGTAGCATTTGAGGCTGTCAGAAGAGGGTGAAGTGGCCTATCTATAGCAGATGGGACTAATTGAGAAATACACAGATGGTCCATACTGTGGCCCTATGTGCCCCAGACTGGGACATATGTTCACAGTTGTGCAAAGAGGTTGGGAGCTGGTGCATGGGGATTGGAGAACAGGCCCAGAGCGAGAAGTGCTGTTGGCTGTGGGAAGACGGATTGAGGGGACAGGAGGGAGGAAATCTGCAGCAGGAAATGCCTATGGAGGAAGACTGGACTGCCATGGAAGCAGGGCACTACTGCTGAGTAACATGCAGGGTGAGGAGCCACTATTGTAACCTCTCTCATCCACAAACTGGTGCCTGCCTATGACAATAAAAAGAAGCCTTCTGTGGGCTGCATCTTGCATGCCAGCTGCCAAGAAATAATAAAAGCCCCCGCAGAGCAGGCCCTCATGTGCAATTAAAAAACATGTCCTCTCAGGGCTGACCCTCGCACGCCTGCTGCTGGGTGCCATAAAAACCCTGGCCATGGCTGGCCCTCATGTGCCTTATGCTGGGTGCCAGAAAAGACCCTCACTAGGGCCATATCTCTTCTGCCCATGGCTGCCTGCTTCCCTGTGCATGTAGCAGCACTGGTGCTCCCATGATCCAAGCAGTCATACCACCTCTGTGCCCAGTACTCACAGGAGCAGGCCCAAGATTTCCAAGGAAGCCTCAGGACCAGACTCCTGTGGGTGGACCACACCAG